TCCAACTGTCCGTATTCTCTTATTCCACGTCCAGAAGTCCCACCGTATTCTAACTATTGCTGACTAGCGTATTAAGGGACAAAAACTTTCTCCTCCTCTCACTTTGAAAACACAAAAAGTGATTTTTCGTCAAGCATCTTCATATCCCGAGGTAACTAACCGCTTGCTCAGCTGTCCTCGAAGTACCTATCAGGCAGTCCCGATATCTCAAAAATAAGCAATTAAAAAACAAAGTAAGCATACTGTAAAAAGATCCTCACCCTGTACATAATGACGAAGGTCTCGGCACTTTGCTTGCGCACATAGTAGCGATAAGCCGGTGTCATCCGAGATGCAACCAAAGCTGATTTCAAGAGAGTCCCTAACTGATGATACAACTCCGTGCGTATATTAACGTTCGCATCTATTAAACGGGCGTCGTACCGAATGCACCTCAAAAGTAAAAACTTGAACAGGAAGAAGCGATCTTGCAACAGAATAAGATGTTCCAATTGACTGGAGAAGACAAATATGCTAATGAAAAGTGCAGAAAGAATAGAGGTAATATAGATTTCAAAAAAATAACAATAATAAAAACAATAACAATGGTAACGACAATTGGCGGCGCGCACCGGGCGATCATGCGTTTTTGCAATATTTCGTGCTGCAGTGAGATCGCTCGAAAACCCAGTAGCTAGAAATGTGTGATATACTGATTCTCGAAGTTCGGGAAGTTAACTGTCTAAGCGGTATTTGGACAGAGAACATATCGTTGAAATTCAAGCTTTCCAAATTTTCTGGTTCTTGAGTTAGCAATTTCCCTGCCAAAAATTTTCACGGGGCCGTACGTGAGTACCACACACTCTTAGGGGCTGAATTTGATAATTTTAAGTTGTCCTTGCGCTGGGAACATACCCTAAAAATTTCAGCCTGCAAGCTTTCCTGGCTCCCGAATTAGCAATTTTCGTGCCAGGATCCCTCACGGGGCCATACGCAGGAACCACGTAGACCTGGGGGCAAAGTTTGAAATCTTTGAGTTCTATGTAGACGGGGGACATAACCTCAAAATTTCAGCTTTCTGGCTTTTCTGGTTCCCGAATTAGCGATTTTCCCGCCAAAATTTTCACCCCCTCGTACGCGAGGCCTAGACTTGCGTGACAACTGGTGCCGTGGTCCTGGGGTGGCACTTGACTGGGAACTCCCCGGCAAAATTTTGACGCCGGAGCTTGCTCGAGTGCGGAGTTGAAATACCCGGACAGACGCACACATACGCACGCGCGCACACACACACACAAACTCACACACACACACACGCACACACACACACACAAACCCAATCACACACACATGCATACACACACACACACATACACACACACACATACACACACACACATACACACACACACACACACACAC